TTTCTATATAATCTCTATAGTTGCGGTTAGCTACTTTTAGCTTTAGTCTAGCTAGTTAGGCGTAGGAATAAAGTTTTTTCTTATTTGCCCGCTCTAGTTATTATTTATACTATTAGCTATTAATTTATATAGCTATTTCCTTAAGTTTATAAAGTATTAAAGGCCTTTTGCCTTATATAATTTTATTTTTAACATTTTCCTTAAGACCTCTATAGTACTATATTTTTAGAGCTTTATCTTCCTATAATAGCTTAAACGCGATTTATATAAATTCTAAAGTATAGTAGCCGGCTAAGCCCTTCTATTTTAGAATAGTAATCTATTATTCTGCTAATATATAATATAAGCAAGCCGGCCACCTAAGCAAGCCGGCTACTTTATTAACTTTTAATAGCTTTAAACGTAGATTACTCTACAATACTAATAGATATTAACTTAATTTAACTTATAGTCTATTCTATAATAACTTCCTTATCTTTTTAACACGTATAAGTATTATATCCTATCTTACCGCAGCGCTTACAGCGCGCTTGCTGCCGTATACTTCTACCCGGGCGCCTTCTATTTTAACGCATTTCGCCCTTAATTTATTTATTAGCTTCCTTTTAAGCAATTATATTAAACCCCTGTACCTTTATTAGGACTTTTTACCTCTAAATTTGCTTTCTTTTGCGCTTTCTACGCTTTATAGCGGCCTTATTCGCCTTTTAAAGGCTTATAACCTAATTACGTAATAATACTGCCCTATATATCTATATTTTAGCGCCTTTAATAAGTAAATTAAGCAACTTAAGAATTATAGTAGAAGAGCTATTTTAATATATTTAAATATAATTATAAATTAAAGCTAATTAAGAGCCTAGCTTAAGAGTATTACTTAGTATTTTTAATTTATATTAAGCCTTTACTACGGCAAAAGGTAATAGTATATAAAGTATAATATTAAGCTTTAAAAGCACTGCCTCTAAATTAAGCGGTATAAGGCCGGCGCCTTAAAAGCTTGCGTAAATATTACTTTTTATAAATAAGTTATTAAATACTGCTTTAAAAGCTAGTAGGAACTTAAGCTTTATAATATAGTTAATATAGTTGCGCGCTAGATCCTTAATTTAGCGACTATATGCTTTTTTTAATAGCGTAAAACAGCCTATATTAAGCGGCTGCAATAGATATAAAGTGTGCGGCGGTATATATAGCGTAATAATATTATTCTCCTTATAAAGCTCTTTAAATTTAAGCAAGTTATAGCTTTTATAACTATCTAAAATAAGTAAGTAATATACGCCTATAGTGCGGTCCTTTATATATATATATTAAAATATTACAGCTATATAATACTAAGCTTATTTATTATCTAGCTATTATTACTTACTGCTATAGCCTAGTCTAGTAGTATATTACTGCCCTTATACTATATAAAAAGGTGGTACTTACCTATAAAGATAATAAACGGCGGGATTGCCTATTTATATACGTTAATAGCCTTAATTATAGTAGCTTACTTATAATTACCTAGTTATATAGCTTTTAGTTAATTTTATTTTTTAGAGCCTGTAATAACTACTCCTATTAAGATAACACCTATCTAAAAGCCGGTTTTATTAAAGTTATAGAAGTTAACGTAATCCACAAGTTAGTGGCCCGCACAAGCTAGTGGCCCACCCAACT